TCTCCCAGTAAGTTTGTATTTAGCCGGACCAGGCGAGGCGTTTCAGACTAACTTCATTATACAACATATGTTGATATTTCCTAAATCCTACTGTATTACGGATTTTCGTCTACAGGGGACTAAGATACACACGTATCAAGCTTATTCACTAAAGCATCGGTACATAGTTTTTTATATGTCTGAGTAAAAGAGTGACGAAGAACCTACTACCGACAGTCAAAGCTCTCGACGTGTGACTTTTACTTGTCTGCTTCGATTCACTCCAATTCCTCATTGGAAAAAAAGCAATGTTTTTCTTCCTCTTTTTCAATTTCAGATGGATGGGGTAACACCCAGTGTGGCTCTGCTTATCGCTTCATCTGCTCCAAGAACCCATTCAGCTGTTAACATACATGCTAAACATCTGGATGGATCAGCTGGGATTGTTTCTCTTTTTAATACCAGCTCATGAACTTCGTTGTGTGTCTTACTGAATTATTGTTTTCCATTGTGTATTTTTAAAAGGCTTTCATGAGTGTAAAGTGTTCAGTAACTTTTGTTTGTGACTGTGTCAGTTGGCTCCTTTCCAAAATAAAGACTTGTGAGAATGGAACAGTGTGTGATCTTCCTTTAAGAGCTTGGTTGAAAAGTGGTTGTGGAAGTCCAGCTGTAGTCTGAAGAGTAACTTGAGTCATTACAGAGGGAAGAAACCAACAGCCCAGGTTTAGAAAGTAGAAGTCTTTGGCTTGTATCAAAGCAGTTCAAATATTGTCCTACATATGAATGTCAGAATGCTTTGATGCATGGTTTGTGTGCTATAAATGGTGTGATAAATCACAGAAAATAAAAAACACCTTGCAGCAGAATAAATACAGTATGAAGGTTAGAAGTGGAAAAGGGGACTGAAGCATTTCAACCTGTTCTTCCCCTATAAGGTAAATAAGGTACCTATAAGGAATTATTCAGAGGAAGTGATGGTCTAACATACGCCTGTTTCACCCTGGGGGCTCCAATGAGAAACAATGATGACACGGAAGCAGAGTATTGTATTCAAATGATTAAGGTTGAGTTCATGATATGGTTTCTGAAAACAAACTAAACTTATAGCTAATAGTGTTATTAGTCATGATATCAATGAAAAGTATTTTCAGTATATCCATTGCCAAGAGAATATCAAGAGATACAAATAAATAATGCACTTGACCAATGCAAAAGAATTGTGTGGTCAATACTACCAAAAACATTTAACAAATAGGTTCTATAAACTAGCAAGAAGGAAGCCAGCACTGCAGGTTTTGCTTGCTAGTAGTCTCTGGCTAGGTGGAAAAAGATTTTCTTTAGCTGAGAATGGGAGAGACTCAATCAGTAGTGAAAACATGTTGGCACTCCAGCAGCATAAATACTAAATAAAAAGCTACCAGCAGCTCACAGTCTTGCCGATCAAGAAAGAACAGAGGCAGAGTTCATACTACTGTTCCCAAAAAGTGCAATAGAGGCAAAGTGGTCCAAGCAATATATATATATCTACCTATATATATATATATAGATATATATATATATTACAAAAGATATGGAAAGACACAAAAGGTCCTTGTTTGAAGCCAGTAAAAATACTCTTGGAGACCTATATGGACAACCCTTTTAATGTGATAGGAGCAGCACTTCTCAGGGTTAAATACAAGCATAAGAGTTAGATCTGAACATAAAAACAGACAGAAAACAATAGCTTTTAAAAAAACACGAGAATGTATTCAAAGAGGAGTTGGGCAGCCTGAAAGGTATTAAAGCTACCATCCATGTGAAAGCCAAGGCTTTCACGTGACTTTTTTCATTTCTGGTCTATCTGATATGCTATGTGCATGAAAGTACACAAAGAAATAGGCAGACTGTTGAAAGAAGGCATAATCACACCTGTGTAATATGAAGAATGAACAGTGTTATTTGTAATTTGTTACTTCTAGGCGGGATTACTGCAATTCCTTATTATCAGACCATGGTCCTGATTGACTCCTATTGCTAATATTACTGATATTATTGTTATTATTACTATTATTGTTATTACTACTACAGTTACCATTATTACTATTATCATTGCTCATTGTCCCCTATCGTTGTGGCTGTTGTCATTGTCGTCATCTTCTTCTCATGTTCATTATCATCATCAACATCAGTCAGTACTATTAGTGTAGTTGTTGCTACTGTCCTTCTGTCTTTACCTCTGTCCCTATCCTTCTGTATTTGCCTCTGTCTGTCTCTCTGTCTCTCTCTCTCTCTCTCTCTCACACCCCAATTGGTCGAGGTAGACGGCGGCCCACCTGGAGCCGGGGTCTGTCCGAGGTTTCTGCCTCTTAAAAAGACGCTTTTCCTTGACCCCGTCGCCAAGTGCTTGCTCATGGTGGTACTGTTGGGTCTCAGTAAATAATTTTAGAAGGTGTACGGTCTAGACCTGCTCTATTTAAAGAGTGTCCTGAGATAACTTTTGTTAAGAATTGGTGCTATACAAATGAAACTGAACTGAATTGAATAACATAAGGTCATGTGGATGACCTTATGTTATTCAATTCAAATTCAAATGGAGCTCACAATTTCTGATGAACCATTAACAAAACATCCAATAAAGCATATTACCTTATGATCTGACTTAAAAGGGATCTTGCTTTCTGCGGTGATAAGTGGCCTGCTTATACCATAATTCCATGCGATATGGTATCTGCTGTTATACAAAAAATATTAGTAAATATCTGACTTGTATTTCTTGGCATTCAAAGTTAGATTTCTTATTACATCTCAGAAAGGATGAGAACAAAGATTTTATCTTCTTAAACCAACTTTTTTGGCCAAAAATTTCATGGCCAAAGACAGACATGATGAATGTGTATGTTCTGAGAATATTCATCTTCAGCACCTCAGCACTCCCCCACAGACAATTTCAATTCAATTCAATTCAATTTTATTTGTGTAGTGCCAATTCATAATAGAAGTTATCT